AAAATCTTTAAAAAAAAAAAAATATATACGGTCTCTGTCGCTACTACTCATCTCTGCTGATGTCGCGCAAAACCAGCCGTAGACAACTTGTCAACCGAGAAGCATGGCAGTGTGCCAATGAAGCTTTGTGAACACTAAAATTATATAATTGTCATGTGTCATGAAATACTACTCTTTCTTTGATTTTTTTCCAATTATTTAAAAATGTAAAAATCGTTCTTAGCTTATTAAGAACAAAAATAGGCAGTGGGCTAGGTTTGGCCCCCAGACCATTGTTGGCCAACCCCCTGGTTGAAACTCCTGTTACGTGGATTTTCTGTTACTGGCAGCCTCATGCAGTCTCACCTGACACAGTGATGGCGATGAACCTTATTTGAAAATTGCTCCTAACCCCTCATGGTTTTTTTTCTATGTCTGTTTCAGAGGGTCTTGCCGTCGGCGTTGGGTTTGGGGCTGTAGGAAAGACGGCATCAGCCACCTTCGAGAGTGCCAGGTAAGCCAGGACCCTAGAGCATGGCGCGGCACCCAGCAGTGCTCTGGGAATGCTTGTTACCTTGACGGGCACCCCCAGCCCCACTGGTGGAAGTGGGGGCAAGGTCAGGTGAGGCTTACCTGAGAGAGGAACTCCATCAAAGAAGCAGGTGTACGCCATTTGTCAGATAAGCTATCTAATGGGTAACCACTTTGAAAACACCCACATGGATATAATCACCTGCATCCCCCAAATCCTGTAAATGTATAAAGACTAAACACCAAAAACAAAACAAACAAAAAAACAGAGCCAGCTCTGATGCTCTCAACTGCTCCCTCCTTTCAAAGCCCCCCCCCCCTTTCTGGACACTGCACTCCCCTGCTGTCCCCCCTTAGTGTCTGTTCCTCTGCAGGTTCTCCTGCGGGCTTCTCACCCTGTGGCCCCTTTGGAAATGTCGATGTTGCCCAGGAGCCATCGCTGGGGCTCCCTTTCTCCCCACTTAGTGCAGTCCCCTTGGGGAACCTTCTCCATTTCCAAGACTTTATTTTCCATCTGTTTTCTGGGGATGCCAGCATTGGTCTTCAGCCTTGATTGTTTGCCGGAGCTTAGTCCTCCAGGTCCAGCTGTCTTGCAGACATCTCCACTTAGATGTTTCTTGGGACCCCCACATTCAGCTGATTGCCTCCATCTGCCATCTGGCAAAACCTGCCCCTCCTGCAGGCTTCCCCAGCACCGCCTTGCCCCCAGCTGACCAAACCAAACTCACTGCTATCCCCCACTCCTTATTTCCATAGGCAATCTTCCATAGATAATCACCATACCTTATAAATTCTTCTTCCCTTCTACCTCCCTGGCGTTACAAAGCGCCTAGATGAGGCTACAGCCTTGGGACCACAAAAGGGCTTATCCTTTGGCCATCATGGAGATGGGCTCTACACGGTCCCCCATGCCTACAAAACCATGAATACTACAGCCTCCAGGCTGGAGGAGAGCAGGGAGGAGCCTTCCATCCAAGGCTGGCAAAGTCAGGTGCCTTCAGGAGACTAAGGGGCAAGAAAACACGTGGACACAGTCATTGGGTAGAGACCATTGGGAATGGTAAGGATGGAGGTGAATCTCAGCTAGGCAGTGTATGCACTATCGAAGGGCACAATTATTTTAAAAATGAAACTCACGTTACAGAGATGGCCCAGGGGCCACTGGTTTCTGACCCCTGCATCTAGCTCATTTCACTGCCTTCTGATTGAGGCAATCTCAAAATCGACCTTTTCTTTCCCTCCCATGAGGCAATGGTCCCGCCTCCTTCGGCGATCAACCCTGTGTCTATCCCGCATGCTTATCAGGAACTCGCTTCTCCCAGAGCCCCTTTCCTGTGCTTCCCGGCGGCCGAACCTGCGTGAGGCCTCTTTATGCCCCATCACCTCCGTCTAGCTATCCCTTGGCCGACATGGGGCCCCTGGGTGTTAGGTGTAGCCTCTGCCCGTCTTTAAATTCTAATGCTGCGTGTTAGGGGACATGTGTGCTCCTTGAAGCCCCAGATGTGTGTGTGGGCTGGCATGTTCCAAGTCGAAATTTTCCCTGTTCTCAGCTTCTCATTCCCACCTGCCAGGCCCGCAAGTCACTCCAGCGTCATCTGTTAACATGATGTCCATTGTGAAAACCAAATGAGAGGTAGATGGGGGGAGGGGGGGCGGCGGGGAGAACTGTATAATGTGAGAAATGTCACCAAAATCAAGGGTGAACGGTGAATGATAATGCCCTGCAGACTGCTCTTCTTACACGGGGTGGGGGGGATTGGGGAGTGTGGCTCTGTGTCCTCCGCACAGCCGTGTTGATCTTGGCCTCGCCTAGACCACGAGAAACTTCCGAGTCAGCGGGAGCTAGGGAGGCACAGCGGCCCCGAGGGGCTGGCCCTGGAAGCATCCACAGGCCAGGTCCTCCCAGGGCACAGGCACCGCGCACGTTGCAGTAGGTCTGTGGCCCGCAGGTGACAGCCCTGGCCCCCGTCCCTGCGCTCGCAGGCCGGGCCTTCAGTCCGGTGGCGCCGTGTCTCCTGGGACATCGAGATGTCAACTCGGATGGCCCTCTCTTCTATCACTTGTACTTTCTGCTCATCTTGATAAATATTTCTGAAGAAAGTAGAGCAAAAACCTTTCCAACCCAGCTCCTCCCTTCCCTTTGACGAAGCAGGCTGTCTCGGAGTTACATAAACCCTCCACAGGACCCTCCCCATCCCACTGGGAGTGAGCTGGGGCTGCAGGCCTCAGGATTTTCAGCCTCACAAAACCCCTGCTGAATGAACTGCTGGGGGGGAGGCCGGGGGGGCGGGGGCGATTCTCAGGCCCCCGCACTGCACCCACCCCCAGCCACAGCCTGGGGGGCAGAGATGTGAGAGCTCTGGCACCATCCCTGCTATGTCCAGAGGGTCTCCCTCAAGCAGACCCCACCCTTCAGCCCATTTTCCCCACCCAGAAATCCATATCTAGTTCATGATTTGGGTTTCTCCTGAACAAATGCCTGTGATCTTACCCTTGAGTGGGGGAAACTACACAACAGCCCCCAGGCTTGTGAGCTTTCTCGGCCCTTCGCTCACAGTACAAATGAGTTCCCATGGGAGGATGGGGACCAGCGGGCGGTCGTCGAAAGGGAACAAGGGAGAAGGAGAAAGAAAGCGACAGGCGAATAATGCCGGAGGGTGGGCTGCAAGAGCTAAGTCATCAGATGATTAAACACATCTCGTCAAAGAGACAGGTTTTGCTTGATAAAATTCCAGCCCCCTGTGATACAGAGGCGGCTCGCTTCACGCATGACTCGGGGAGGTTGAAAATAAAGGCACGAGAAAAGATACAAGGTACACGCTGACCAAAAGAAAGCAGGAATGGCAGTTTTAGAATCAGACAAAACAGACTTTGAGGCAGAAAGCCTCATAAAGAATAAAGGCCAGTACTTCCCAAGAAGAGAAACCGCGCCCCAGGATGCTGTAACCCCTGTGCATCTGTGTGCACCTAGCAATAGTAAGTCTCAAACTGGTTAAGAACAGTGGTCAGAATTGCAAGGAAAAAAAAAAAAAAGACAAAACCGCCGTCCCGGTGAGTGGTTATGATCCCCCTCTCCGGCACTGAGAAAACAGATGAAAAGTTAGCACCATGTCCATCACGGACGGATGCAGGGCCCCAGACTAGCAATTAGAAAACTTCCATTCTCTTTAAGCACACATGGGCGTGTTTCCCAAAATTGAGGCGAGAGCTCTGCCGCAGAGGTCAGAGTGTCCCCAAATCGATACTGTTCAGACCACGGTCTGACCTCAATGCGACATAACTGAAAATCACAGAAAAGATAGCCAAAATAGTCGGTTAGCGGGCCATAAGATTAGCGGAGCGTGAGCTCCAAGGGAGGGATACAAACGCAATGTGTGTCTCTTCCCTCCTGTCGGGGGCGCTTCCGAGAACGCGGGGTACTTCATCAGGAGTGTGGGGACGGGCACCCCGGAGAGGTGGAGATGACAGAGACAGGGGACACTGTGAACAAGTGCCCACATTGGTCCCCAAGGCGTTTTTAGGGCCAGGTGAGGATGGAGTTCACATGGTCCTTCCTAGAAGACAAGCCTGACAGCTGAGGAAGCCCATCATTGAGCAAGAGGTTGGCAGCTAGGGTGCGTTCTGATGCAGGGACATGACAAAACCCAAGAGGTGATTTGAACTGCGATCTGGCTCTGATGGGATAATTTTGGGGGGAAGGAGTAGACTGACCAGTGTGAAGAATTCAGCCCTCGAACAGATCGGTATTGACCACCCACAGCTTTGCGCCTTCATAGCTCCCAGGACGACGAGGGAGGCGGTGACGGTGTGGGAATGAAGAGGGACCAGTGGGAGGAAGAGGTTTTCAGTGCAGAACCGCCCGACGGCAGCTGTCGGCTGATTTTGTTGTCGTGTGGAAGGGGGAAGGGAGAATCAGGTTCGGGCAACAGGGAGATATAGGTAATCACGTGGCGCCGTGGAAGGGTCCCCAGGGAGGCAGTACGCATTTGCATGGACTTGGGAACGAAGGTAGCTGGCACGTGCATGGGCTACGCATGGGTCAAGCTCGCTGCTGTACATTTCGTGCAGGGGGTCAGCAAACTGCAGCCTATGGGCCAGGTCTGGCCCAACACCCGGTTCTGGAAATGGCATTTTCTTAGAACACAGCCAACACCCGTGTGTTTTACCTATCATCTGTCGCTCCTTCTGTGCTGTGTTGGTTGAGTTGGGTAATTGCCCCAGAATCTTGAGGCTGAAGGCTGAGAATATTTATTATCTGGCCCGTTGCAGACAGTCTGTAGACCCCTAATCTAGTGGAAGACCATAATTTTAGTCCAGATCTGTCATCAGACGCTCTGATGCATGCCCGCTAACTTTTGTACAACCTCTTTCTTGTGCCCTGTGTATAATGCATCTGGAAGCAGGAGGTTCTCTTCCCACCCACATGGTATCGCAGCCACCAGGAAAGAGAAAGGTACAAAGAAATACTCCCTAGAAGGCACCGGCTTCAATTCTGACCTGGACTCGGGCAGGACGCAGGCGTACGATTTGTGTTTGGCTTCTGCCACCTAGTGTTCGGACGCTGTCACTTCACCTTTATGGTGCCCTCCCCAAGGCCCTCCTGAGCTCCCTCCACCTTTCCTTCCTCACTGGACAGCTTGCCTGGTGCTCTTCATCCTGAATTCAGCGTCCCCCTGAATTACAAAGAATCTCAGGCCTCAAAGGGCAGCCCATAGCTCAAGGGAAACACGGCTTTCTTCTTTCTGATCTGGCCCCATAGCAATTTCTTCTGGTTTCACCACAAACAAATTCTTCAGACCACATGTCCTTGGGGTGTTTGCTGCTTAAACAGTTTTCCTTTCTGAAGTGGCATTACCTCCAAAGAACGTGTTCCCCAGAGAGGAAACATGCCCTCCGCTCTCACTCGACTCCGTGGCAGGTATAATTCAAACCAGCAGGGAGAGCGAAGCTGCTTACGCATAAGCATTTTGCTTCACATACCAA